ATACCTTGTGACTTAGAAATTTTTTTAAAGCAAGGGATTACGGGGCACAGAGACAGTGGTCACCCCTGTAGGGAAGGCAGGCAGACGAAAACGAGTATGGACAGTCCTCTGATTCCTACGTTAGGCGGGCACACAGTGCTCCCTTTTTTATGCTGTTTCATAACTCACAAAGACTACGGGGACATCAAATCTGTGTGCGTCAAATACCTCGTGTAAGTGTGTTATACATAAGAGAAATAACTCTTTCACAAGCAAGCATATAAATATACCATAGCGTAAATAAAATTACTTCATTGATGTTGTGATCATGAATATACTTATTTAACTGAAAGCTGAAATTAGCTGAGGAGTCGAAAAGGCCCAGGGTGAACCTTCTGTCTTACAAGCAGCCAAGGCACAAGCCTGAGGCATCGGCCAGGTCGTTTCCTGCCTCGGGGGCCTCAGGTGGCTGGGTCACACGACACTGAAGCCATGGCAGGTTGCTTGCAAGGGACAGTGTCAACAGTCTCCCGAGTGAAGCACCCCGTCCCTCCCTGGAGGTTCTCTATTCTAAGCTGCTTTAAACATATATATAGAGACAGATCACTTCTCCGAGATCAGCACAGGGGCGTGAGTATGCACCCAGGAGACCACCAGGACTCGCAGGAAGCGGAGGGCTCGTTAACGAGACCCTTGGGAAGCCAGACGGAACCCCCGAGAAGACCAGCCAGTCGGCTGCTCCTCGTTAGACGCCGGGAACAACGCGTGCCAACAGCCGCTCCCCGGCCGCTGCTGCACTTGAACGTGTGAAGTTGAACAGGAAAGACGTCACCCACTCACACGGAGGGAAGTCCAGATTTAACTCTGTCTGCTCTAAAAAGAGACCCATCTCGCTGGCGGGAGTGCCGGAACGTGCGCTGCGTGTCCCCACCGCTCCCGAGTGACTCCCGGGTTCCTGCAGGTGGGGAGCGTGAGACAGCCAGCGCTTGCTGAGTCACGGCTTCGTCGTGACACAGGCAGATGGTGTCAGCAACACAAAGCCCATGTTCACGGGGGCTCTGCTCAAGGGGCAACAGACACAATGGATCACGTCTCTGCCTCACACGACTGGTGAGCTTGTTTCCAACACACCTGAAAGGGAAAGTGTTCCGAAAAGGAGTAAGGCCCCTCTTTACAGAAACTAGAAGTAATCCATGAATGTCCAGGGCAGATCCCCTATTTTCTTTAACTCAAGATAGAATTATTGGTTTCTCTCTTTACATAAAAGAGCAACAGACAGCTTATTTGTTCCTTTGCCACCCTACTCCTAAGTACCAAAAATTTAGGATGTCTAAGGACATCATCATTAATATGTTAGATATTCACAGTCCCCACCTCCTTAAACATCGAGTGACAGGCTGTAACCAGGGCCGAACGCTGGGAAGACTCCCGGGGGCAGGGGGCAGTGGCGTCAGGACACAAGCTGTAACTCAGACTCCGTGCTGCAAAGGGCTCCGTGTCCTCGTCTGTCAGAGAAAGGAGGCGAACTCAGGGTTCCGCAGCAGTCTGTCTGAGACACGGGGCGGCCTCCCCGCAACAGCTCCCACCGCTGCATGTTCCGCAGCCCCAGAACTGACAGTCGGTCACCATGTTTAGGGAAAGCTGAGAAAAACTGCAAAGTTCAAAGAGGCTACACAGCAAAACAGAGTCCAGAGGAAGACTGAATGAACCCAGAGGGCGGGGACCACAAGGCGGTGCTTTTCTGAAGGCCGTCTCCAAGGTCAAGGGTACCGGAAGGAAAATACTATAACTGGAATAACTGGCAATGAAGGCCCAGGATAGATCGATATAGTGCTCAAGAACTCCCTGTCTGCTTGAGTCTAACAGTGAGCATTGAATGGGCCGCCTCTGGGTGCTCAATATTTCAGAAATTTGAAATGTGATTCATTTATGATGATTCAAGAGTACTTCCTAAAATAACGGGAGAAAGCAGACCCCCTGGGCTCAGCCTTTCTGTGGTGCTAGCTGAGCTCCATGTAGCATGTAACCTAACCTTCCTGCATTTTAAAGTCCTCATCTGTAAGGTGAGAATAATGGTTCTCACCTCATAGGACTAGTGCGAGGATTAAAATAATGACGATGGACACGAGAAATGCAGTGGTAACTGACGTACAGGGTCCAGCAGAAGTCAGGCTGGACCTTACTCTCACAGAGTGTGGTGGGTAGGGCAATAATACGGGTGTGATAACTTATAGTGTTAATTTGAACATTTCACCTGAAACATCCTATGGTGTGCTCGAGTGCAATATTGTAATGTTACAGAATGACATGCTTATGATTTTGTAATAAAAGATTTTGTCATAAGAAAAGGGTGTTATTTATGCCAGACCTTGTTATCAAAAATACTTGCTTAATGGTAGCTATTACTATTGTTAATATTTAACAGGCAGAAGAGTGTGTAATTTGTGATCTCCAAAGACTCCTCGTCCACACTCCACTCCACAATCGTCCATCACACCGGGCCCTCTGCCGCACAGGGCAGAGCTGGAGGGAGGGACCTCACGGCATCCCTGAGGCCAGGGCGGGTGATGGAGTGCACCACACATGGGACAGAGCAGGAGCAGAGCTCCAGGACAGTCACACTCAGAATAATCCAAAGCCACAAAGTCAAAACAGCCTTTTCATGTCAGAAAACACCCAATCCACTCACTCTCCCCAATTCCAAATTAGTCCCTACTTTTGAGCACACAAGTTCTTCTCCTCCACTCTGAGGACACAAGGGCTGGGTTTCCAATAAGCTCTTGTCTAGGGAGCTGTGTGGCTTCCATTCCTCAGCAGGAAGGACACACTGCACTTCACCCTGATCCTTCTGAGGAAGCTGCCTCGACAACACTGTCTGCACCTGTGCTGCTCGGCATGGGCGTCAGGTGCCACATGGGGCTGCTGCACGGAAACCAAACGTTTACTTCATTTAATTCTCATTCACTGAAAATGTAAGTCACCTGTGGCTAGCGGCTACCATGGTGGACAGGGCAGGGGAGGTCAGCTGGGAATGGCCGCAGTCAGTAGCACGGAACTAGAAGGCCGGTCTGGACAGCAAGGAGCACTGGGATGGGTCACAGGTGTGTGGGCAGGGAGGGACAAGCCTGATCCTGTCTGCAGGCTCAGCTCCAGGGCGCAGTTCCGGTTCCCTTCACCAAGAGAGAACCTCTCTTTTTTTTTTTTTTTTTAAACAATTTTCAGGTTTTTATTTTATTTTTTTTTAATATTTTATTATTTATTTATCTTTAGAGGGGAAGTGGGGGAAGGAGAGAGGGAGAGAAACATCAATGTATGGTTGCCTTTTGTGCGTCCCCTGCTGGGAACTGGCCTGCAGGGAACCGGCCAGGCATGTGCCCTGACTGGGAATCGAACCGCGATCGTGTGGTTCGCAGGCCCGCGCTCAATCCACTGAGCTACACCAGCCAGGGCCGAGAACCTCTCTTTCTAACATCCTCAGTGACTCTCAAATACTTAAGGGTCATTTTCTGCTCTTAGGAGAAATAAGATCGGCGTAAAAGAACCAGATTATAAAAGAAAAAAAAAGAACTTTACCCAGGATAATACATAATGTCCCTTGGTACTCAGAGAATAAATACTGAAGTTTTTATCCTGGAAGTTTTATAAAAGCATGTAAAATCAATGGAGTGTTAAACTATCAATTATTTTAAGCTGTGTTATAGGCCTTGCTTCGGTAATGTTACAGGTGTGTGGAATGGACAGGTCATTAAAATGATTCAGCCAATGATTTTAAAAAAAAACATTACACACAGAGAGTAAACCACATTTTCCATTTTAAGTGAAGAAAATATACTCAAGCCATCACAAAAGAAACTACCGGGTCTGGGTCGAAAGTACCACGTCCCCTGGCGCTTTAGAGACAATGGACCTCATTGTCTCGGGAGGAACAGGACTGCAACACATGATTGCTCCAAAAACACCACTGTGCTGCCTCTGTGAAACTGCCCCGGCCCTGAGCAGTGGAAGCAAAAACGTCATGTACAACGCCGCCTCCACCGTGAGAAGATTCAGGAACACACATCCTCGTTTCCAGGTCCCCGGGTGGGTTCCTACAAATCCTTCCCAAGGGAAAACTGTCCCGACCTACCATGAAAATTTATTTCCAAGATGATCCTCAGAGCCTTGCTTTAAGAGGCATTTTGGGTGCGCTCTCATGCCCTTCCCTCCCCACCCCCCACCAAGTTACCTTTGCCCCTCTCCCTCTCTCTCCCTCCCTCCCTCCCTCCCTCTCTCTCCCTCCCTCCCTCTCCCTCCCTCTCTCTCTCTCTCTCTCTCTCTCTCTCTCCAAGGCCCTTCTCTCTACCTCTGTACTTGTTTCCTGAGCCTACACAGCCCAGCTGGTTCACGTCTGCTTTCTCTGTAACTTTCTAAATAAACTTTCTCTTGTAACTTAACAAAAAGAATCATTTCAAAGTCTCCTTTGGGGTTCAAATGTGTGTAACCAGAATGGTAGGGTTTTAAGATAAGCCCCTTTTCCTACCACGGAGCTTTAACCCCAGGAAAGCTCTAGAATTCTTCATGTCTCTCCCAAATTCTGAGATGCCCAAAGCGGAGCTGGTTACTGCCTTAATTCAACTGCTCTGAATTGAACCAAACACTCACTTGCATTGTTCTCCTTCTTCCTTAAAGAATTCCCAGAATCTAACGCAGTAAGAACGCACTTCTCCTGATACAAATAATTATTTTCCTGGGGATCTGTACACAAAAATCCATCCTGGGACTTCACCCAAGAAGATCTGTTTTACTCAAGTCCCATCATGACGTGCTTCCCACAGAGAGACTCCAGCAACCGGAAGGCTACCATCACGGCAAAATTCAATGGCCGCATATTTAAATAGAACTCTTCCATTTCAAAACAGAAAAGCTCTCATCACTTGTCCTCCAGAAAACAAAGGAACTGCTGTACATTTTCTTGAACTAGACATAGACAACATCAAGTTAAAAGTTAGCAGCAGAAAAAGAGAGAACCTCTCTGCTCTTACCTCTACCACGGTGGTCTGTGCAGCTTTGCACATGGGCAAGTTGAAGTTCCGTGCACTTTTCCTGCGTGGGGGTGGAGGGTAATAAGACCAACAATCAGAAGTGCCTCCTTCAGCTTTAATTACAGACTAAAAGAACTTCCATAGGCTAAGATTCTATGAATCTTTTCAAGAGTATATCATACCTTTTGTTAGTAAAGTTTTTTTTCAACATTTTAATTTTTCAATTAGTTTACCTTCAATGAAAGTTTTATAAATATTGTATAAGTAAAAACAATATAATACCCACTTCATTCAATTATAGAGTTTTTTCATGGGGATGAGGAAAGGAGGAACTATTTTTTATGTTCAATATACAGATTTTACACAGATAAATAAGATGGGTATTAATACATGTATTTGAAACTGAATCCATTAAATCGTTTAACTGGGGTGCCATTTTGTTTCTATAGTTCAATGGTTCATGAAACTTGCTCCTATTAAAATATTAAGGAAAAGAAGCAAGCATTTCATGTGAGAAGATATAGCAATTATATTCCCTATTAAAGAGAAGCCTATTGCTGGAATGAAATGAAACATTCACTGGGAATTTGTGAGTCACCGATAAAGATCACTCCAGAGAACCAATTTCTAATGACATTTTTGAAAGTCTAACGCCTACATGAGACCCTGAGGCATAAAAATTTCAAGAAGGTGCCAATTTTGCTGACGCGTTCGCATTTCCAAGTTTCTAAATTGATGCACTTCCTCTAATCATAAAAATTTAAATACATTTTTGTTTCTGAGAGTGTAAATTAAGGGCAAAATTTCTTCGCTGAAGGGAAATAAGTTTCCAGCACTTTTAAGCTGCCAATGTTTACTTCTTCACTCGGATTTGAGGACAGGTGCGAGGGCAGGCGTGTCGGAGAGAGGAGCCCTGTGGGGCTGTCACACATTCCTGCTGGATTCCGCCTGAGGGCCAGCATCACAAGCTCGCGGGCAGAGCCGCCAGAGGCAGGGCTGGCAGGGTCTCCCAGGTAACTGTGGCCTGGACACACCTCTGTACCAGTCGTCCCACTAAACGTGAAGGTCATCCTATCAGCATCTTAAGAATCTAGGTTACCTGACCACTGGTGATAAACACACTCATTTCCCACCAAAGCTCAATGTCTATTTGAACCACAGGCACCAAGTCCGTGCTTATAGTAACAGCCCTCACGCAGCCTTCAGACACCAGAGCCAGGCAACGGAGTACAGGGCAGACTGGTGGAAATACTTTAAACAATCCATTTACCTTTGCTACTACACAGTTTCATTATTGTTTTTAAAAAGATTTTATTTATTTATTTTTAGAGAGTAGAAGGGAGGGAGAAAGAGAGGGAGAGAAATATCAATGTGTGGTTGTCTCTCACACGTCCCCTACTGGGGACCTAGCCCATAACCCCAGGCATGTGCCCTGACTGGGAATCTAACTGGCCACCCTTTGGTTCGCAGCCTGTGCTCAATCCACTGGGCTATGCCAGCCAGGGCTCATTATTCTCTTTTTAAAACAGCAACCCAGCTTAGGAAATATTACACCAAAGTGCCAAGTTCAATAGACATGAAGCAAAATGTCCTCTGTAACTGCCCAAATTAGCTGTCATTCCAAAAATGAGTTGAATTCGAGAAACCAAATATAGTATTAATATTAAGTTCTTCAGAAATGAACAAAAACAACATGAGAATGACCCCCGAGACTTGAACTGTGTTTGCACGAAAATGCATTTGATTTGGTAAAGGTAAAAATCTGCTAACTAAACATAGTTAATGACAGTAGGGTGAGAAAAAATAATTTCTGTAACCTCATAGGTGAAGTTTCTAATACCAAACATTTTGAAAGTCTTATTTTGAAAACTTTATGTGTATTTTAAATTATGGTGTAATTTAAAAAAACAACTATATAATTTATAAATCCAAAATATTAAATACCTGGCATTAAGAAAGCTTAGGGTGATCAAAAGGTTTTAAAACCTATTAAGCCTGTGGATTAGTATCTTTAGCTACCCAATGAATGAAAAAGAAAAGTCAGGATTATTAAGGTTAAACAGCTTTGCAGACAAAACCTTTATAAGCATTTTGTCTCCAATCACACTGGAAAAGGCCTGACCTAAGTAAGTATTAGCAACACTTTTCCCAAATATTAAAGTAACTTACACATTTTAAGACTGGGTTACTAAAAAAAGTGCGTTTAGTTTTTTATGTAAAATAAAAGACATGTTTTTCATTTTCACCAGTAACTACTGATTTGGCCATTTTAGGTGTGTTGTCTCTCTCCCACACGATACAAGTTGATTGTTCTCTGTCTTGACTTGATCACTATCAACTTCAAATTGTCTACCTGACCGTGGAGCATCGTCCAGTAGGAAATCTCCAGTGTGAAACTTCACAAACCACTTTTGATACATTCTATCAGTCACAGAACCTTCTCCATACCTTGCACAAATTTTTGTGTGTGTTTCAAACATTGCATCTTTACCTTTCTTGAAATAATAAAGCACAATATGCCAAAAATGTTGCTTATTTTCTTCCACCTTCAATGTTAAGATGGCTACACAAAAATTCACCAATTTTCCTGGGGGTTTTTAATGCAAGCTGATATAACAGCTATCACAAAACAATCTAACAAAATTGTTTTGAATGAAGTTCAAGATAACTAAGCGCTACTTGAACCATCTTACAGAAAAAACCAAATGGACTTTTTGGCCAACCCAATTGCAATATCAAAATTAAATATAACTGTGTACTTTTCTCAGATTTTCAAAGCATGTCAATATTATAACTAGTCTGATGACTAAAATTTACAGGGGGAAACATAATTTATATGTGAATAAACGCAACAGTAAATAGATTCAAATAGTTAACAAGCAGAACAATGCCGACATCAACCAATCAAAACAGACTCCCCAAAGTACTCCAAACCAGAGAGCCACTGTTCACACACACACACATGCACATGGGTATGTTTGACCTCGAGCCATTTTAAAATGAAGCTTTAAATACCAAACACATGAAGATACCCATGAGCCGTCAAGTGGCTGAAATGCATCCCACTAATATTTTTTCAACCCGTCCCACTACCTGAAGATGACGTTTCCTGCACGGTCGGCCTTCCAGGCTTTCACCAAGGCAAAGTCCCCTGTGATCGCTTCCTCCAAAATGAAGTGCTGACCGTTGAACTCTCTCACCTGCGGGAGATGGAGAGGACATGGTCAGGTATTTGCGTGGCCCGTCTGATCATGACAGGCACTCTGACAGAGGCGGCTACAGGGGGCGACAGCTTAGTGAGGCCAGGTTTCCCAGAGAGGAGAGTCCAGAGACCCCCAGGATGAGCGGTGGGGGTGACGGGGACTGTGCCAAAGTGCTGGAAGGGAGAACCTGGAACAGCATGTGCAAAGGCTCAGTGACCAGCGAGAGCTCGGTCAGTCCGAGGAACTGAGGTGTTGGCAGGGTTTGCTTGTATTCATGTTATCACTCGGACCCACAGTTTACAGACAGTCCCTCTTTCCCTGTTCCCCAGAAAAAAAACTATATATTTTTGTGAAGTGACCAATGTGTTGTTTAATATATGAAGTAGTTATAAAAGTCCATTCATCTCTCCTAATTACGCTGTAATCACCTGTTGAGATTTTCATTGAACTCCTAGGATCTGCAGATGAATTTGGAGAGAACTTACATACTGTATCTTCCCACCCATACATAATCATATATTAAGCTTATGTTAAATATATAACCATATATTTTTAATATAACCATAATATTTCTTAATATAAGCATAATATTTTTTAAAGTCTTCTGTTACCTCTCTCAATAGTTTTGTAACTTTCCCCCCAAAAGCTTTGGATATATTTTTTAGGTTTGGTCATAGCTACGTCATGGTTTCTGATGCTACTATGAACGTTAGATTTTACCCTACTACTCCTTCTCTTCTGCCATTTCTGGTCTAACGGTAAGCTACTGATTTGTGCACGTCTACTGCCTGTGGTCCTACTATGGGTGAAGAGGAGAGATGGAGAAGAGGAGCATATAGCAAAACCATACCGCATCACTGGAAACAGCGACCCAGTGGGCTCCATCGCCCACCACGCAGGACTGAGCCTGAGCGAGGCAGAGCTCCGTTCCCGTTCCCACTGCACCCCCTAGTGGGCGAACTGCGTGTGCTCATGGGAAGCGTCAGGAGAAAGTCTGGGTACGTTAACTTCTTCAACCTCAGTTTAAAACTGAAATCCTTTCTGAAACAGCAGCCTCCTTAAAGACATGATCCCACCTTCCTGCTAAAAAATTTAATCAATTTATGGAGCCACTGATGCATGAGAATGTTATTAATATGAACTATGACAAATCATATAAAAGATACTCATAAGCTGCCCAGCAATACATAGTTTTTGGAAGAACCTTATGTTTAAGAGTCATCACTGAATATCAGTGGTGATGTTCATTCACAGCCGGAGCATTTTCAATACAGATCTAGAAATTGCATAGAAATATAAATACATGCTAACCCAAGGAAAAGTAAAAAAAAAAAATGTTGTTTTAAAATTCTAACTACACAATTTCCTGACAGATTCACACACTCGCAGCTGGTTTTAGCTGTGATTCTAAACTTTAAAACACAAAGGAACTGGTTTTGTCGAACTACTGACCACACTCCCGGGAAAGAGCCTTGCACTGCACTGTCTCAGCTTCCTGGGCCAGTCCTTCCTCGAACCCAGGCCAAGCAACTTTTCACCACTCCCAAAAAAATCCCCCACTCTAGAGAAATCTTTCCTGAAGTTACCCAAGACCTCTAGGCTTCCAAACCCGACGGTCACTTCCGAGGACACCACCCCAAGCTCCGCACACCTTCGAGCACACCACGCCCTCCTGTGTAAACTTCCCCGGCTTTCCATCACCAGACACCCTGGTTTCCGTTTCACTCACTAGACACATTTCCATTCTTCGCTCCTGCTCCTTCAGGGCCTCTTCCCTGCCTTTGGAGATGCCAAACAGGTGCTCTCTGCATTTTCCCCCCAGCCCACAGGTGGTGAACACAAGGCACCCAGGCTGAATCAGCCCTCCACCTCCATTTATCCGACCTGGCGCTGAGCTCCTTGCCCCTTGTTAAGGAGCAGTTAGGTTTACACAGTCCTAAAATTACCTTCGGCCCTTTGAAGGTGACCTTGAGGTGACCCTGGTGACAGTGAGTCTGACACCCGTGCCCTGGCCACTCCTAGCCCCAGAGACTTAAACACGAAGGCTGCTGCCTCTGAAGCTCCCACCCCGGCTCTGAATGCTCCCCGAGCTGGAGCCCGCTGAGCACCCCTCATGGAGACTAACTGACGCCTAAATGCACCAAGTTTCTGCTAATCCCCATGACTGCCCCAAGCTCATCCCATCTCAAGGAGCGGCATTCGGGTTCTCGCCTTTGCTTACAGCCACCACCAGTATAAATCCTGGTTCCAGCCACTCCTCGCCAGTCCCACTGGTACCACTTTACCTTCCCACCTGGACTAATGCAACAGCCTCTTCACCTCATTCACTGCTGCTGCTCTTGGCCCCTGGGGAGTGGGGGGGAGGAAAAACCCTTACCTCCTAACAGCTTCAACTTGCCTAGATGTAGCTCGGGCCACATCACTCCCTCCAACTTCCTGCCCGCTGCTCACTAACCTCCGTAAAATCCAAATTCCTATGATCTGGCTCCTGCCACTCTTCAACCTCCAATCCTACTGCTCTCTGCCTCACCTACTCTGTTCCAGTCTCACCACGCTGCTGTTCCACACACAGTGCAAGCCAGCCTCAGGACCTGCTCCTTCTTCCTTCCAAATAGGTCACAACCCTGTGAACTCTGCCCAGCTCATTCTCCTGTTTTATTCAGGTCTCTGCCAAGTGTCGCCTCCATGGTTCAGGGAGAGCATTCCCAAAACCCAACCCAAAACACGGCCTCCCTGGCCACTGGTCAATCTCTCTGCCCAGCCCTGCTTGACTTCTCTTCCCGGCATTTTCAGAACATGTGTCTCTCCACTCCCTTGTCAGTTCCTCTACTTCGGGGGCTGGGTCTCGAGACCACCCTTTTCCATCACACTGAGACCAGTGCCTGGGAAAGAGTAGGAGCCCGATAAGTATCACTGAATGAAGGAATTCACTCACTTCCTAGGATGAGCAAGGGAAATAAAGAACTAACGAGAGTTGCTTTAAGAATTACTTGCCATATTCCCAGGGGATCCAGACAAATTTACAAACCTACTAAACGCATGCACCTGACTCCAGAAACAAATGAGCCCAGGACAGAGTCCAGTCCGTCCTGTTTTCCCAGGGTGAGCTGACACCCATGAGCTCTCAAAATCTGAGCCCAATTTTTCTGGGCATCTTTATCTGTATTGCTAAGATCTGCTTTAATACTGAGACTCCTGTCATTTCCTTGGCCAAGAACTTTTGGAACTTAATGAGGCAGTAAAGAAAGAAGGGAGACAGAACGTCAGAAATGTTAGTGAAAGCTGAGTCCATCGAGGTCACCGCAAGCAGAAAGGCAAAGCTCCAGAGAATGAGCTCACGGACAGCAGGGGCCTTGTTCAGTGACCTTTCACCTCCCCTCAAGGAGAGGCAGCGCTGACCCCTCTATGAGCAGAAAGGCGGTAAGGACCCCCCAACACACACAGCCTGAGTCTCCTCCTCCCTAGAGAGGGGCTGGGCATTCCTGCTGCCCCTGTTAACTTCTTAAGCCATGTGGGCAGGGAGAAGGGAGAGAGTCTAAGACCACAGTAACGACAGATTGGCCTGTGTAAGTTTAAAAATTGGCTCAAACTGGAGTTACTGCAAATACCTAGAGTTCTGTTCTTTTCTAACGTGTGCGTGAAGTTACCAAGCATAAAGGCAGCTCACACGTGTCCAGCGCACAGAAGGGAGGAGGTCGTGTGAACCCTCCATTCATCCTACTACACAGTTGTAAGTGTCTCCTGTTTTTCCCACTGCACAGACTTGCAATTTCCTTGGCCTTTTTTTCCCTTCGATCACAGACGAGTTCTGAGCACGAATAACATCATGCATCATCACGCAGCGACTCTACACTCCACCTGAGCATACTCAGCAATTACAAAGCCTCCTCCCCTTGTAAAAAGCCACCCCCTGAATTAGTTTTGGGGACTAATCTTCACTCGCACATCTCATGTGGGTTCCAGTTTCTTATCATTTACTTATCCTGGTTTCTCCATGAGGTTTCAGTTACTAGCAGATGCTCAGCTTTGGCTGGAAACTATACCTGACAGTGACATTCATGGATGGCGGTGTTCGTTCTCACACCAAGATGACTTCACACTTATTCCCCCAACAAGCCGCCAGAACCCCGAGCAGGCAGCTGTGCCAATGACGGGGCTCCTTACCTCCCTGGGCTTGCTGGCGATGGCGATGCTGCCGTCCTTGTTGTACTTGATCGGCGCCCCTCCTTCCTGCACCAGGGTCCCGTAGCCGGTGCTGGTGTAAAACGCAGGCACCCCGGCCCCGCCGGCACGAATCCTCTCCGCAAGCGTGCCCTGCAGGAAAGCAAGCGAGACCCGCGGACAGGGCAGTAAGCACACTTCTCACCAGGACACCCCACCCACACTCCAAATGGTTACTGCTCTGAATGGAACCCAGTGGGTAAATTGGTGCGTTTCACTCTCTATGCTAGAAAGTTCATTTAAAACAGTCGCTGCCTCTCCGGACAACACCTCTCTTCTGAATCCGCAGAAGGCCACTATGTATTCGCGTAATCATCCTGGTGGTCTCCACGTCTCCTGCTGGTTTCTTCACATCAGTCTATTTATCATATTTTCAAATCTGGGCTATTACTTCAACTATATACACTTAAAAACATAAAATTAAAGTTTGTGTTGTACTGTGTGTTGTATGTAGCTATGGCCTGAATCTTATCATTAGTGACAGTAAGTGGGTTTTATAGAATAATAACATAAACTGCTCAAATGTACTTAGAATTTATTCTAAACCATTCTCATAAATACTTTATCTACAATGTTTTCTAAGAAAAATCCAAAGTTAAGCCAACAGGACAACATATTGGTTAACTGGGTTTTAGAAGCCAAGACAACACCAAATTTTGTTCCGAGAAGAAAGAACTGCAGGCAAAGCCTCTTTGTACCTTCCAATGACCCTCTTCACCCCTCCCAGGTCCTGGTCCTTTCAGACCTGACCTCCTAGGGCTCTCCCACCCCCACCTGCCTTTCCACCCAGTGAGCCACGAGGGAATACACACGGGCCCAGAACATTCCTGACACCCTCCCTACCCCAAGACTGCTCTTCCTCCCGGTCACATTAGAGAACGAAATGACAAATCAGTAGGAAGAACTAGGTTAGCCATTAATGACAAGGTGTCCATATGGCCCCAACCTGAAAACAATTTTCTTCTCTAACCAGGGCCTTCAGCTGCTAAACTCAGAGACGGGGCTGATGATGGGCATTGCAAACACTGAGTCCTTCAAGCACGTGGGATATTCCGGGGAAGGAGGGCCTTGTGGCTTAACTGAAAATCTTTTTTAAAAAATATATTTTATTGATTATGCCATTATAGTTGTTCTATTCCCCCCCTTCATTCCCCTCCACCCTGCACACCCCCTCCCTCACTATTCCTCCCCATTTAGTTTATGACCACATGTCTCAAGTTCTTTAGATTTTGTATTTCCCCTACTATTCTTGCCCGCCCCCTATCTATTTTCTACCTATTGTCTATGCTACTTATTTTCTGTACCTTCTCCCCCCTTCTCCTCCCATTCCCCTGTCGCTAACCCTCCATGAGATCTTCATTTCTATGGTTCTGCTCCTGATCTAGCTGTCCTCTTAGTTTGCTTTTGTTTTGGGTGTGGTTGTTAATAACTGTGAGTTTGCTGTCCTTTCACTGTTCATCTTTTTTTATCTTCTTTTTCTTAGGTAAGTCCCTTTAACATTCATATAATAAGGGCTTGGTGATGATGAACTCCTTGAATTTGATCTTAATTGAGAAGCACTTTATCTGCCCTTCCATTATAAATGAAAGCTTTGCTGGATACAGCAATCTTGGATGTAGGTCCTTGCATTTCATGACTTGGAATACTTCTTTCCAACCCCTTCTTGCCTGTAAGGTCTTTTGGGAAATCAGTTGACAGTCTGATAGGAACTCCTTTGTAGGTGACTGTCCCCTTGTCTCTTGCTGCTTCTCGGATTCTCTCCCTCATTTGAATCTTGGCTGATGTAATGATGATGTGCCTGGGTGTGTCCTTCTTGGGTCCAACAGGTAAGTGCTTTTCTACTCCACCCAACGGACAGAGATGACTCTACTTTGTGTTCTGGGTATTTTAAGTCAACCACGTTCTCAAAAATTCAGTCCTCAAACAACTTAATACCACCTCTAGTTTAACGTGTTTTTTTATGTCCACCCTCCCTCAATCTCTTGACTCCTTCCTTCTCTGTGTTCAGCTGGGCAAGGGCCTGAAAACAGCCTCTCTGCAGACGGGACCTGTGCAGGGGTCCCCAAGGCCCCCGGCTCCAAGTCCCGAAGGGAGTCCTGATCCTTGGCACGTCATCAACACAGCTTCCAGACTCTCAAGTCACCAGAGCCCATGTTTATTTAGGCGCCACCAAACTGGGGAGGGAGGCCTGGCCTCCTTCAGCTCAAAGAAAAACCGTAAAAGAAATATTGAGGAATACTTCTTTTCCTTCCCCACGTGTGCCCTCTGACAAAATAAGGAAGGATGCAAAGATCTAAAAGGTTAACTTTCAGTAGCTCCAGAAAATGCAGGATAAGGTATCTCAGCATATAGTGTGACAAGGAAAAGTATAGAGTATGTACTGAATTATGCCCACCCAAAATTATTGAATTATAGCCCCCAATTAATGATTGTATTTGGAGATAAGGCCTTCATGGGAGTCACTAAGGATAAATATTGTCTTAACAGTGGGGCCCCGATCCGACAGGATTGGGGTTCTTACAAGAAGAGACCCAGAGTGCTCACCTGCACGGTCCTCCCCCTCCTCCACTGCCCCCCCACTGCCCCCCACCAAGAACCACACCAGCTGACACCTTCCCACCAGAATAATGAGAAACAAATTTCTATCATTTAAATCCCACAGTCTGTGGTATTTGATCGTAGTGCCACAAGCAGACTAAGACAGCATATTTTTGTTAATCAAAAAAAACACACACACTTCAAATGACAACAGGATAAATACCAAGCGCGGTGCGATGCCGTGACAGGCATGGGCGCCACCGCTGCAGTGCGGCCGTGCGGGGCTGTCAGGGACACGGGGAAGCCCCGGGGAGAAAGAGCGGCCCCCACAGGCTCTCTCTCGTCAAGCCTGCACTGGGACTGGATTCCTGGGAACTTTTTCTTTACGAAATTCCGTCATTACCAAGTTGGTGAAGTCAGGGGTAACAATGTTTTACGTTGACAAAACTAAAGCAGAGTGGGGGGCTCGGGTTCAGGACCCAGGTCAAAATGGAAGATGCGACCTGCAGACCCTTGTTTTACACAAACACCTGTGGTCAGCAGGCTCCCCTCTGTTGCGGACTCTTCCGTGCGATGCTCACCCAAAGACAGGTGGGGGCCCTCGCCCAAAGACAGGTGCGGGGCCCTCGCCCAAAGACAGGTGCAGGGCCCTCGCCCAAAGACAGGTGGGGGACGCTCACTGAGAAGGTGTCAGACACGGGAATCTGCCAGGTGAGCTGTGGTAACTGCCTGCTTTGCAGTGACACCCCCTGGAGGCTGGGCCGGACCCCCGAGCTGGCTCTGATGCAGCCTGTTCCACACTCAGGGACCCCCTCTCCCAACATGTCTCACAGCCCAGGTGCCACACGAATTACTAATTCTACGGTGCCCACGACGGACTTTGAAGCTAACCTTACACGTTTCAGCAAGTCCTTTTGCAGGCTTCCAGCACAATTTACATTAAAATATAATTTACATTATACTTTAAAATGCATCCCATACCCTAGGTATTTTTATTAGAAATACCTCCTTTTTCTGTTGCATAGCAACAGAAGATACCAGCTAGACTCTGGTAGAGGACAGGTGTGACCTACAAAATAGCATTCTCTCTGCCTTACCTGTCCTGCACAAAGACATTTCTAGGGAGAAGAAGATAAACTTTAAACTAAGTGAGTATTGTAAAAGAAAAGCAGAAAATTTTCTTACCTGAGGTGTCAGCTCTACTTCTAATTCACCAGACAAGTACTGCCGCTCAAATTCTGCATTTTCTCCCACGTATGAGGAGATCATGCGTCTGATCTGCTTGGTTTGAAGCAGGAGGCCCAGGCCAAAGTTGTCGACCCTGCAGGGACACGCAAGCAGCTTCCAGTTAAAGGCACATCTGGCAGAACAGGAACACGGTCTCCGTTCAGAGCCACAACACTGTGCTCACTTACAGGGATCCTACCTACGAGGCACTGTGCCCACATTCCCTGTAGTCCCCCGCCACCCACGGAGTGCGGCAAGGTGACTATTCTTATCTTACAGCTAAGGAAACTGAAACTCAAAATATTCAAGTGGCTCTTCCCCCAACAACGTGGGGAGTGACACAGCCGGTAGTACTCAAACCCACAGCCTTCCTCTGATCGCCCCTCAACCCCTTTCATTCTTCCCGCTGCTCCACAGTGACCCCGGGTTAGATGAGCAAAGAGATGGACCAGTCATGCCCTGTGCTGCAGGGGCAATGCCTCGGTCCCACCCTGCCCGGACCCCAAAGGCAGGTGTGGATGGAGAACCTCTTTCTGTCCAAGGATGGGGTCAGGGGCATTCTCTTATTTAAAAGAGCAAACAGCAGACTCTTGAAATATGGACCTACTTAGGAATAACTGGGAATATTTTCCCCATGTCAGACACTCTGCTCAAGAGGACTGAAACACTTAAACATTTTTAACAGCACCAACAAGACAGGGAATTAATCACAGACTAGTGAAAAGATACAGGTAGGAAAAATAACGCTGTATATGTTAAGTTATATATACTATGGTTTGATATGTCTATTGATGTTGAAGTTCAAGTTATTCTCTAAAAACGATGCAGGTAATGTCGGCTTTTTTCATTAGGTGAAGGTCTCTAAGTTTGTGCCTTTCTTTTCAAAGCAAAATGCACCTCAAATTTCAAGCGAAGTCCATGTGACAAGGCAAATTAACAATGGACAGAGTACTTTTCCATTTTTAGTCACCTTATCCATCTGTACCACTCGAGAGTTTCAAAAATACTTTAACCAACTAGATAAAGAGAACATTTCTAAGATAATAAGGAATGCTTGAACTGAAGCTATAAAACTATCGAATATTTTTAAAAGGAAAATAGTGAAAACCACAGTGAGACATAGCTACAAATACAAACAAAATGGCTAAGTAAAAAAGAAGGTAATACCAAGTGTTGGCAAGGATGTGGAACAACCAGAACTCTCATATGCACTGATGGGAATGAAAATCGATACAAACACCTTGGGCAAACCATCAGCAGTACTGACGTGCGTTTCATATGCTGTGAGTCAGGGTCTGCACCCAAGAGGAACACATACCAATGTTCGCCAAAGGACACGTACAAGAATATTCGGAGTAGCACTGCTCATTATGGCCCCAAACTGAAGCCTCCCGAATGTCCATCAACCACAAGATGGATAAATACATCATGATGTAGCCACAAAGTGGAATGTTATACAACAATGAGAATGAATTATCTACAACCCCCAGCAGCAATGGATGACTGGCAGACAAAATGTGGAGCAAAAGAAACACAGCACAGTCCATACTGAATTATTCCTTTTATACTAAGTTCAAAGTCAGACAAAAGTAATGAGTAAGATCAGAAGTGAGGGCCACGGTTAACCATGGGAGTGGAGAGAATGGGTTTGGGCCACACTGTGTTTCTTTACCTGCGTGTTGGTTACATGGGTGTGCAGCCTGTAAATACCCACCGATCTGCACACCTACGATGTGCCCACTCTTCTGTTACCCTATGTTTCAGTAAGGTTTTAGACAGAAAAGCCAGAGTGATGAAAGCTGGAGTACGTCCTAGAAATACAGCCTTCATTCATGAATTCTCCCTCCTAAGTCCTTCCGTGTGCGGTGGCTCCACCCCTGGGGAGTCTGTGCCCTCTACACGGCTCACCCATCCCCCCCATGCTTTACCAAGCTCCTCCTGCACCCCAGGGCTGGGGGGCCACTCTGAGCTTATCTCAGAGAAACACAGGCAAACCTGCGACGGCAACAGAGCCAGGGCTGTGCTGCGTGAGGTGCGACGAGAAGCTGAAGATCGAGAAGCCCAGGAGGGAAAGAGGCAGAAAAAGGCTCACGGGGGCTCGGGGGATGACACCAGGAGACTTTTAGGGAAGAAAGCCTTGGAGATCACAGCAGAGGCGAGGGAAAGGGGGTGCGGGGCAGCTCTGAAAGGGGGGCGATCGCGGGACAGGCGGGCCGGGCTGTGCTCCCGCCTGAAGCCACGCCAAGCAATGAGGGCTTCGCCCCAAAGGGGAGACCCTGTGAATAACTAAGCAGAAAATATCAGGGTATTTAATTCATGGGAGGGGCCCAGAAAGGAAAGGCAGGGAGATGAGGTGAGAGGCTTGAAAGGGTCCCAGTGAGCAATGAGGAGGGTCCCACCTACACAGCAGCAATGGGAAGGGAGCAGAGCAGCAGGCATGGGAAATCAGTCCTAAGAATCCCTGCCCCCCACTCCGACACAGATGAAGACCCACTCCAGAATTCCGGCGTTGGCCATGGAAAATGGCGGAAGAACATAAGCCCAATGACCACCAGAGAGGCCACGTGCTTGCCTAGAAAGGCGGTGAGGCCGGTGCCCGGTATGACCAGCCACTGAGGGTCTCCTGGCAACCTTTTCTGCCACCTTCACTCCTCACTCCACCCCCACGGGCCTCACACACGGGAGGCCATGCCTGCTCCACTGGCCCTTTGCTGGTTCTTGAGGCCCAGCATTTCCCAGCCCCGAACCTCCCCAGGCAGTCCTGACCCCTGAACGCTTCCAAGTAACCCAGGAAACCGGGAACTGTCGACATCCTTCTGGACTTGTTTCATACTCCCGGCCTTCCAATACCAAACCTGGCAACATCCCCACCCCCACCCTGTGGGTACAAAAAATGGCCACATGTTTTATTCTCACCTGTGTCAACAGAAATCTAGAGCCTAAATAAGAAGTATTTTCAAGTGTACTTGTGCAGTATGGGGTGAACCCCCTGAAGATTAACCATACACTTGTCCACTAGAGGGCTCCAAACACTAAAGGCTGTTGTCTCCTGGAAACTCCGTGTTCCCCACACTTTCAATACACATCGTGCCGGTTTCTGGTGCTCGTTTTTTGCTTCCTCCTAATCAACACCTAAGTATTCCCTCAGGTCTCCACGTTAACAACCCTCTCCCCTTAAATGCAGCTCCACCTGCCCCCATCTCACCTGATGGCAGCCCCGTCCTTAGAGGTCTTCAGCACAAAACTCAAGGGGTGATCTTGGACCTCTTTCACACATTATCAGGACATCCAGACTGTACCCTCAAAATCTACCCAGAAGCTGAGCCTTCCTCTCCCCCTCCTATGTGCCCTGTGCCGTCTCTTACCTGGACGCTGCAGTAACCTTCCAGGCTGCTACTCCTGGCCCCTAGGACCTGCTCACAGGTGCCAGCCAAAGCTACAGGTGTACAATGAAATGCTCTGCTCAACCCCTGCGATGATATGCACGTGTTCAGACTCGGAACACAGGACTCTGGGTGGCCTGCGAGGCCCCGTGTGCTGGGAAGTCTGGCTAAGCCTCCTCCAACCTCACGCCTCCCACTTCCTTTTCGCTCCACCTCTGCTGGCCTCCTGCGAATGGGGGACAAGCGGAGAGGGGTGGGTGGCAGAATGGGAGGAGGCGAGACTTGGGGTGGTGAACACACAGTACAATGTACCATACTGCATTGTAAAATTGTACCCCTGAAACCTAGATGATTTTATTGACCAATGTCACCCCAATAAATTCAATTTTAAAAACCTGTCTTAAAAAAGAGCGCCAAGCGTCCCGCCTGGGGGACTCCAGACTGGCCTTTCTGTGTCTCCAAACTCCCCCGAGCTCTCTGCATGGCTCACCCCCCCACTTGCTGCAAGTCTCTGGTCAGCTGCTCACCCTGGTCACCCCCACTCACACCGAAGCTGCCCCCCACCTTCATGCTCCCAACCCCCTTTGCTCTAGTTCTTTTTTTGCACAGCACTATAACCTTCTAACACACTGCAATTTACTTACTGTGTTTCATTTACTATTAACTGCCCGCCTCTCCCCATCAGGAGGTGAGGCCCACAAAAGCAGAGAACTTGCCCCGTTTGGTTCACTGTGGTACCCGAGCACCTGGACACATACAGGCACAGAGGGTACAAGATAAACACGTGATCAGGACAAATGCATTTACTGCTCCACTGAAGATGCCCCTCCTCACTGGCTCCTCTCTAGTAAAAATGAAAATCGTCTTATCTTTACGTGAATATTCTCTGTTGGTCCCCCACCCCCGCATTCATCCTGCCTGCCCTGTGCCCGGGACGGCTAGGCTGCACTGACCTGCGTGGACTGAACCACGGGCCCCCTGGCCCTGTGGCTTCAGGCTGGTGTCAGTCTGTGGGAGGCACCACCCGGAGGCTCAGGGGTGAGAGAAGAATAATGTCAGGATGCACATTCCTGGCTCGCTCCCCGGCAAGCTCGGCGCACTGGAGACAGGCCCGTCTCCAAGGCTGTCTTCCGGGTGCTGACAGTTCCCTCCGTCACTCCACCAGGCTTGGGGTTGGGGGTCCTGTTACTAACTCCGAGGCCCAGAACTCACACCGCTTCCCCCGAGTCCTGACCACCCCTTCAAACTGGTAAGCTGCCCTCAATGACCCAGTATGAGTTTCTCGTATCTTGTTTCTTCTTCAACGTATGTCTATTTTTCAGAGTGTGCAGCTGGATACTTTCTGGACAGGCCTCGTACACTGCCACAGAGTGTTTCCTAATTTCCCGCATGTGAGTGGGGCTGCCCCTGGAGTTGCCTAAATCCCCACCTTGGAGAGCTGGAATCTAACAGCACTCTTGTCGTGAAGCAAAGAGCATGACTATCGTAACACAGCCATTCTTTTCTTGGTGCTGTGATTTCATTGCCTAATATCCAGTTTGTTGAGAAATTCTGGTTCATAGATACAATTCATACGTTAAAGTCTTCCAAAAGTCAGTGAAAGACACGCTTGATTCTTCCTAATCAATCCCCATCGAGGAACTGACTCCTCTGAGTGACGCCAGGGAGGGCCTGTGGGATCTGGACAAATGGTTACCGCTCCACACCCAGCTAGCGGTTCCTCGCGGCCGCCGGTCTTCCTGATCATTACAACACACCAGCGAAGCAGAACAATGAGGAGTCCTGAGCTCTGTAAAGAGGTCCATATCAGGCAGATCTTTTCATAAGAAGAGCCTTTTTCTAGATGAAAAAATCATTATTACTTCTAATTCCGAGTTCTCTCCATTCACCCAACATTTCCGACCAGGTCGTTGGTTCTCCAGTGAAGCAATGCTACAAGCTGACCCCTGGGAGTCAACCCCCTCATTAAGAGAACCAGCTGCCAGTGCAGGTGTGCAAAGGGACTGTCTGTGTCCCACTGATCACCACAGGTTATCGGTGTAGGAAGAGTTTGTACATTACACCAACCCTTGTCAGCAGCGAGCTATCTGGAAAACCCAGAAAGTACTAATCATCAAAAGTACTTTTAACAAATACAAAGTCAGCTCAGAGGCACTGAATGGGTTGAAGAAACATTAAGTGACCATGGATAAGCGGAGAAGCCGTGTCTATGGACAGACAAGTTTCCTCCGTGAACTGCGGGAACGGGAAGAGCTGACTGACCTCTGCCATCATGTCCAGCTCCAATGTACAGTGACTCCGAGACTCATAGGCTAATAAGCAGGGAACAGAAAACTACTGTAAGTGACAGGAGCAGCCTGTAACACGTGGCGGAGAGAATAAATACAATTCGGGATACAAGAAAGGCTAAGAGTCTCCAAGGCAATTCAGAAAGGGGCAAGATCAATGAAGGCTTGAGAAATTCTACACTTGCACAAGGCTTCTTTGAAGATATGTAACGAGTTGAATTCTGAAAAAAATGGGAAAGATATGCATACAAAGAGAAGAGAGGTAGGAGAAACTTCCAGATAAAAACAATGGCATAAATAAACGCAGCAAAGGAAAAATGAGCAAAAAGGTAGGACCAATTTTGTATCCTAAATAAGCTGTGCTGTTTATTCTAAGTTGCATTTTTGACAACAGGCTAAAATGCCAATTAATTTTGAAAAAATTTTTGACGTCTTTAGTCTTTCACTATTGACAGAGAGCTGACGAGTTGTCACTGTGTATAAAAATAGCTTTTCCCTCCTACCTAAACATACCTTAATGCACATCATTCATTATTAAAATGCCATCGTATATTGTTGACATTTTGGACACGATCCTACTGTCTAAAGACACTGAAGTGCTGGGCGCCTGTTCTCCTTCTGCCAAGACCAGCAACCTTTTCAGTGATGAGTGATGTTCTGTACATACCATCCGGAGTGATGGCACAGTCAACAGAGAGACTTAAAACAGATTTCAAATTGGAGTCCACCTTTCTTTACATGTAATGATCTATATAAGAACATACAACATAGAGGAACAGCTCTAAATTTTTAAATGCAAGATTCCACTTAAAATATAGATATTTTAACTTTAATGATATATTTGAAATTAAAATAAAAGCATGTCAGATTAAGATATAAAATCATGCAAGTCTCCTTTACTTATGATTATGAAGTTTGGCACCGAAAGTATCTGAATAAACTGTAACCACCACTCCTGAGCTCGTTAAACGCTATCTTTCAAGGTGCGAGCACATTGCTCAAGACAACAGGGAAGATTTCCATGTCACTGGTCGACTTTATTTAACTATCACAGAGAAATCCCGTTTCTTTCCAACCGTGTGCACTGAAATGAACTGACCCCGCATTGTTGCTGACCGCGGTGAGCCCTCGGACCCCAGTCTTCAGCAGAGCTCCGATCAGATTCTCTGGAATTCCACATAACCCGAAACCTGAATAAGCCAAAGAATAAACAGCATATGAAGAGAGCAATGCTGTTGCAGGGAAATGCGTGTGTTATCCTCTTGTAGTGAAAAAGAAAATATATAAAGCGCATTATCAGACCTACCAAGCAAAATGTAGATATAGCTCAGCAACTTGGTAAATGGTCATAAAGCTGTACCCAAACGTTTGACACCAATATGCAGCACCGGACACCACTCTCAAGTCCTTGATTCAGAAGTATAAAGCCAAGTGCAACATGTTAACAGGGCTACACATCCTTCTTGCACCAAACTACATGTTGATTACTGCCTGGCTTTATATTTAACGCCAGTACAGCCACTTTCTCAAGCCTGCTTATCTTATATGCCTCAGTATATTTTTCAGAACCGGAAGCCTAGGCTAATGACTTTCATTTCTTTACATTTTCCACACTTTTCAAATAGCTTTGTGTTTAAATGGACACTCAATGACTGAACAGAGGAAGGAAGGGAGGGAAGAAGGAAGGAAGGAGGGAAAGAAAGGAGGGAGGGAGAGAAGGAAGGAAGGAAGGAGGACGGGAAGGGGGAGGAAGGGAGGGAAGTAGGAAGGAAAGAGGGGAAGAAGGAGGGAGGGAATGGGGGGGGGAAAGGGCGGGCAGCTCTAAAAATAAGCCTTGAGTCCCGTGGCCAAAGCTGAGAATCCCAAAGAAATCTGTAAGAGTCAGGCAGCAAGTTTAATGAGACAGTGATTCTAAATGACATTCCAAACAAAAGAAGCCCTTGAACTTGGGGGCTCAATAACAGTTAGATGCTTAGTGCTCTCTCGCTCATAAAATGAGGCAGAACAAAAGGAGTGGCCAGATGTGGGCCAATGAGGTCAATGCAACATTCTAAATAAAATGGAATTCCCCAAAACCTAGGGCTTTTTTTAAAGCTACTTTTAAAAAAGCTACTTTTTCTTTAAAGCTAGTAAGACATCCCCATCTGAAGCTTCAGGTTTTCAAAGTAATAAAAAGGAAGCCCCAAATGAATGAAAAAGAAAAATACAAAGTTCTAAACCTTGCTAAAGTTTCAGGAGGTGGACATTAATAAAAATAATAGGTCCTATAATAGATAAAAAGTGAATAAGATAAAGTGAACAAACACTAACTAATAAAATAATTGGCGTCCTTTTTCATTGTATTCTGTACATTACCATTTAGCCCCGTTATACGTGCCCCCTGCTCCGCAAGCACCACACCCCCGTGTCCACGAGTCCTGTCTCCTTTTTGCTCAAACCCTGCAGCCCCTAACCTCTCCCACTGGCCGCCATCCTGCTCTCTGTCTATGAGTCTGTCTCTGTTTTGCTTATTAGTTCAGTTTGTTCATGAGGTTCCACGTACTAGTAAAATACGGTACTTGTCTTTCTCTGATGGCATTTCGAATCTACATAACTTTGCTACTGTGCTTCCCCAACTTTGCTAAAAACATAAGGATGTTACCGTAAAAAGAGGAAATAATAGTATTACTCACCACCAACCAGGATCTTGGCGCCGTCAGGGATATCTCTCACAGCTGCCACTGGATCTGTGTAAAATTTGGTGTGGTGACGCGCGCTGGTGGAAAAGCAGCAAACCCACCCCTGAAACATTAGAAAACATTTTTTAGTGAATTATCAGTTGGAGCTACGTCCTTACTTTACACATAGAGCAATTTATTCAATTCTCACACACACAAGGACAACTTTACTACGTCCACCTTGGAGGAGCAGGGCTGGAAGTAGTTCGCCTTGAGACTGAAACGGACATACTCTATCCACAGACCAGAACTGGGATCCCTAGTGATCTGCGTCTTCTATTATATATGGGAGAGTTCCATCTGGGGCCACCCAAAAGTGGGCTGCCCGTACACTAGAACTCAAGTTCCCAATAATGGCGCATCATGCCCTGGCTGGGTGGGGCTCAGTTGGTTGGAGGGTCGTCCCATGCACCACAAAGTTGCGGGTTCAATCCCCAGTCGGGGTATGTTCAGGAGGCAATCAATAGATATGTCTCTCACATCAATGTTTCTCTCTCTCTCTCTCTTTTTCCTCCCTCCCTAAAATCATCAATGAAATATATTCACACATCCTCAGGTGATGATTAAAAAAATGAATAATGGCAACATTGAGCATCAACTTCTGACAGTAATCTAACCCTCTATTTAATCAACAATTACTTACTGAGAACATACTACATGCCAACTATTGTGTTATTTACTCCAGTCTAGTAAGTATTAAGACAAGATTTCTGCTCTCGGGGAAATTAAGTACCGCATGACCAGTACAAATACTACAAGATTGTATCTGACCCAGTCTCGGGCAACAGAACACCTCCTAAAAGAACAAGTAAAGAACAGCATGTAAATGACTCATTGGCCTGCAGGGCTTGGAGTTTCTGGGTGCTGATGAAAAGTAGCCAACTACCGCATTGGCCAAAAAGTTCGTTTAGATTTTTCTGAAAAAGAAGACATATCTTTCATTTTCACCAATAGCTGTATTGATCTGGATATTTTGAGAAAGTCAGCTATCTCCTACATGGTATAATGCCGATTGTTCTCAATTAATGTGTTTATTTGATCACTATCAACTTCAACTGGTCTACCCGGCCACGGAGCACTGTCCAGCAGGAAATTTCCAGCGTGAAACTTCACAAACCACTTCTGACACGTTCCATCAGTCACAGCACCTCCTCCATACACTTTTTTTTTTTGCATTTCAATTGCATCTTTTTTTTTTGCATTTCAATTGCATTTTTACCTTTCTTGAAATAATAAAAGGTAATATGCCAGAAATGTTGCTTCTTTTCTTCCATCTTCAATATTAAAATGGCAATACAAAAATCCACCAATTCTGGTAAGTTTCTTTGAAATGCATGCTGATATGAGAGCTGTCGCAACACAATCTAACAACACTGTTTCAAATGAAGTTCAACACAACTAAGTGCTACTACAGCCACCACACAGAAAAGAAACAAACAAACCCAGTACTACCCGTAAGGGAGGCATAGCTAGAATTACTATTACCTAGAGAGCTTTCACAAAGAGTTTTAAACTGCTTCCATCTTTATACTTTATCCAGAAAATGGACAGGGAAGATGAGAAAGTCATTATATTGTAAGCAATCAATCATACTTAACATTTCTTTATATATATACATATATATGTGTGTGTATATATATGTGTGTGTGCGCGCAACCTCTACCTCTGCCAGTGTGTGTATACATACACACACACACGTATAATCTCTCCTTTATCCCCATCATAGAGTCGACCTAAACAGAAGGAGTAGAGAGAATGACCAGAGTCCTGATATGCTGCCCCCTGGACAGTCCACTGCCCACCAGCCTTTCACACAGGGGTCAAAGTTAATCGCATAAAAGAATTTCTATCATTCTTCCTCTAAGACCTCCATTTAGAAAAAGTGCCGATCAATACAAAAGCCTATTTAAGGGCACTGTACTGAAAGCCAATGAGACGGGCAGAGGTAGAGGTTACACAGACCACTTTGTCCATTTAAATTTCAACCTTGGTCAAGGTCGGGTAAGGAAGGCAGTAGACCTGGCACCCTGCCCAGACACAGGGAAGTAAGTGGAAGCAGTGATAGAAAGGAGAGGACTTTCTTCTCTTTCTTATCTTGCAAGGGTTTATTTGATTCTGTTTTCAATACACACAAAGGTACTTTTAATCTTGGAAATTAAAAGTTTGGAGCCTGAAGAGATAAGTCAACAGAGAGTAAAATAAAGTTGAGAATATCTTCTAGAAACAGGAAAAGAAAAATACGTAGACATCCAAAAAAAGAAAGAAAAATACAGAGAGATCTAATCCCACCAAGTCATCTTACAGGCCAAGTTTCAGAAGCTTAGAAAGATCTTGTAATTTACCCAACACTTTCAGAGCAAAACCAGACCCCAGGTTTAGGCCTCCCACCTCAGGGGACTTTCACCACAACATATGCCTCACTGTGATTTTTTTTAGAAGTCCTCACTCTTCTACTTTAATTTCATTATTTACACACACTCTTTAAGAGCATCCTATTTTCTCTTGAAGCGGTCTGCTGTTACTCTCCAGTTACGGGTGAAGAGTCGGGGCCTTAGCAGCGCTGGAGGAAGGGAATGAAAGAACTTGTCTACAACTGAGTCCTCTGGGGGGTGATGTCGCCCAGAACTATTTATCCACAGACGGAGAACCCCGTGTCCTGTAGAGAGGAAGTCAGAAGAAAACTTACTTCCCCTAGAGACCCAGAGAGCTTTTCAGATTCATGAGGACAAGCAAAAGCACACAACACAGACAAGGCAGGGACTCCTGTGCTTTCTTTCAGTGGATAATCAGTGCTTTCAGTACAGTCAGAAATTGTTGAGCAGCTTGCCCCACTGCCCACGCCCCCCCAAAAAAGTACTTCAAAAGTGTAAAGCTGTTGGGAACCGCTCTGCCTGGTTTCAGGAGTTGGAACTACCCCCGTGGCTAAGGATGAGTGAGCAACCTCCAGAATGCGAGCCACGAGGAAACAAAGCTTGTCTCTGGTAGCAAACACTGCCCCCAATGCTTGGTCGGTTAGTCAATGATGAGTACAACCCCCCAGAGGAGGGGCAGCCTAAGCCAGACACGATCACTTGGGAGGCCATCAAGGAAGGATTCGGGTGGGGGGAGCTGCAGCAAAGAGGGAGTGATAGACCCTCGCCCCCCAGCTACTCTGACATAGCCCAGTCCCTCTGTCCTCTAGGAGAAGCGCTTCCTGGCTCTAATCCACTTAAGTCTGAAAACCTGTGATGGGGAGGCGGTGCAGCCCCTTGACAGCTAGAGTGGGATCCGGGGTGATCGGGGGTAAGAAAGAATTCCTAACAATCCCATGAAGCCTGCTTTGCTAAGAATGTTTTTAGTTAAATGATAAATGCCTGAGTAGAAAATGAGTTTGTTTTCCCAGTCTTGTAACCCTTTAGCTAACAGACCCTGACTTAGAAGAAGCCCTAATGGTTCTTTGTATACTATCTACTGCTTACTGCCTGACAATGATTAATAAGTTGTACCTGAACTCCTGTGCAAAAAAAACAATAAAAGCCTGTCTGGGCAAGGGTCAGTGCACTTTCTCCTTGAGAGAGTTGCCAGGCCGCTCTGAGGTGCTCCCCCCTTGAGGGAGCAGCCGTGCCGTCCCTTTTCCTCCACGGGACTCGGTAGTCCGTGTGAATTTGTCTCATGTCTCATCCATGACGCCACGGGCATCGCAAGCCAGTGCACACGTCATAAAGCAATAAAAGCGGACCCATGTTTCCAGTGAATCTGGGAAGAGCTGTCAAGGTACTGGAAGAACTGACAGGCGCTCAACTTTGGTTTTTTCTCAGTTTCCATACATTCAGTTGGCAGTACTTGTTGGCATTATGGAGGAGTTATATTGACATCTGACATGTGTTGAGTGAGAAACCGGTAATGCGGCATGATGGGCACACTCCCTGCTCTGGAGTCAAGGGCAGCACCTTCCAAGATTATGGTGGGGGGCTGCGTCTCTCATATCTACCTACCTTTTTCCCTTAGAGAACTAAATTCAAAGAGGAGCTGTAAACTTCTCCCACACTGACCTCTACTCTCTAACATATTTTAAATACTAAAACAATGATGTGAAAAGATCCAGACACCATCTGCTAAATAAACAAATAACCTTCAACTCTGCAAAGGTTACCTAAAAGAATGAAGACAAATGAATTGTTCAGCTTTGGCATCTATTTATTCTGGCAATGACTTTTTTTTCCCCACCGAGGTCTTCCTTTATGTTCACACATAAATGTATTTCATTTTGTTTTTCCACTCTCTTGCTTCTGCAAATTTCCGTTTCATTGCTACCACTATTTCTGTGATGAATATTTGGGAGCACAATTATGATAGTTAGGTACCAAAGAGGTAGAAATAATCAAAATTCCTGCAGTGCAAGATTTTTTCTGTTTAATCTCTTTCTCCCTGTAAAGCCATTTTCATAAGTTAAACTTTGTCTACCAATACCCTCTACTTCAAATTCTTACACTTAACCTTTGAGATCTGATTCCACGTGACTTCCCAACGCAGAATCTCCTTCCTCTCTAACCATTGTTTCTTGCACCTAAATTTCTCTTGCCATTCAGCACTCCAGAACTTAATGAAAATGTACTTTCTCTTGAAGCTCCTTCAGGGAAAACCCAAAAAGCATACTGCTTTTTCATTTTTAAGTACATTTTATCTTCACGATATGGAATTGTACGTACACCCAGGTGGTGTTTACCTTGTTGCCTTATATACTCAGGACAGGTGGAAGTTTGACACTGCCCATTCAAGTACCAAAAGTCCGACAAATGCCAGCGGGGAGCAGTGGCTGGGCGCAGAGAGGCAAGGCGAACCGTATGGGAGGGAACAGGCAGTGATGTGCTGGACGCACACACCCACAGACCTGCGGGGACAAGCAGGGCCACTGCCCGGGGGAGGAGATGATTCGGGCTGAACCGCTTTCACTATGCAGGGGAGAAAAGGAATTTTCCTTCTGCCCTTTTAAGTTCTTCTGGCCGCCGGTCTGATAATGGCATTGACATGAGACAGAATGACGGCAGAAAATGACCAAATTCATCCTATCCACATGGGGGTTCCATGAGAAGAATAGGGGACCCGAGGGGAAAGTAGGCGGTTGAGACTTACATACTAACCTGAGCTAAAGAGAAGGGGTGTGGGCTGGGAGGAGCGGGTGGTTGTGGTTTGAGACTTCAAAGGGAAGGAAGGCCATTCCTTCCTTTAAACAATGAGACACACAGAGGACTCTGACCAGGTTCTTCTGGCCAGGTTCCTGCCTGTCACATAGTAGGTCTATTACAGCTATGTCTGGTGATGGTACCTCCCTTCCTGGAGCAGGCCCTCTATCTAAATTCTTCCAGGCAGTTAGAGGGAAGGTCCAAGACTTCTCCTTAGTCCTTTCTTGAAAATACCAGACTAAAATAATCAATCGATACCCCAACAAAGTATATTTGGGGGGGCAAACTCTCCTTTCCCTCAGCTGTCCAGCACGGAACCAGCGCGCCCCAGGTGAAACGTTCATTGTAAACTAAACAATACCAATGAGGCACTAAGGACATGAATGAATCACAAGGGGCTCCCAAGGAGTCACTGCCACCAGGCAAGTCTCCCAAGCCGTGGCATCTTTTCTTCTGAGGGGACATCCATGTTCTACTCCAAGGCTGGTGCAGTGCCCAACAGACCCTCTGAGAGCGCACAAATGGAGAGATGCATTCTGCCTGGTGCATCAGAGAGCTTGTGGGGATCTCCAACACCTGAACCACTAATGAGATGGGGACTCCAGCAAGGGGCAGCTGTGTGAGTAAAGGGACAGAGAGGTGAAAGGCTCAGTGCGTTCGGGGTCATGCAAAAACCAGGTCCCAAGGAGAGAGGCTTGGGCAGAGAGGCTGGCAAGGGGGACTGAGGCAGGTTGTACCAGGCCTTAAAGACCACATTCAAGAGTTTCAGCCTCACATCTCAATGAGGAAGGAACAGGGCAGGTTTAGAAACAGAGAGATGTCACAACTCTCACATGAAAGTCTGTACCAGGAAAGTGACAGGGGAACTCACTGTTTTATTCATCCATCCACTTACTCAAAATTATCTGTCTTTAGCAAATACAATAAGTCCTGGGGTTAGTGCAAAAAAAATTAAACATACAAGCATAGTCCCCACTCTGATGAAACTTATAAACTAGTAAGGCTAATAGTAAATAGCGACAAAATTATTACATGAGGCACAAGTGACCCACTAGAGGTAGAGCAGGAAGAGGAGAGGATACTTCCAGCCTCTCACACTGGGTGGGTTCTTGTCTGTTAACCAGTGAAAACAAGACAAGAGAGGGAAAAACCATGTCATGGCCGGTTCTTTTTGAGTCAGAAAGAGTTTGTAGCGCTGATGGACATCCACATGGACTGGACCAGTAAACTGTACTAGAAAGACTGCAAGCCAGGAGTCTGGGGGTGGAGAAAGATCTGGGGAAAGTTTCACCGAAGAGAAGTAGCTAAAGTGTTCATGGCAATTTTTTTCCAGTAATAATTTCCTGTAATGAACGGAAAAGTACTCCATGCTCCCTTTGAAACAGAAATGGAGGAAGCAAGATGCCTTCAGATCATCTTTTCTAATCTAAGCTCATACAGGTGGTTCTGAAAGTACAGCCCTCAGACCAGCAGCCTGAACATCGCCCAGGAACTTTAGTAACACAAACTATGGGGCCCCACTAAGGAGCAAGTACATCAGGACTGTGGGGTGGACTGTTGGATAAAGCCTGCAGGTAATTCCACTGCATGCTCACGTTTGAGAGACTTGTCTACCATTAATACACACACACGCACAGACACACAAAAACACTATCTCATTTTACCTCCTGCTTGTGCTTAGCGGAAAAATTCTCAAGGCTGCTACTTAAGTTTGATCACAGGGTACTCTCATCAATGTAGTAAATGTGTGTTGAGTTTCCAGGCTGCGCAGGGTAGTGAGCGATGTTGATGAGAGACATGGGGAGTAAGGTGTACAACAGTGTCCTTGACAAAAGGAAACTTACAACTGGTTCAGAACACACGTGTACACATTTGAAGTTAAACGAACACGAGTGTTACAGTTTAACTGAAGTAGGAGGTAAGGATTTCGCTAAGTGCCTAGCACTGGGGGAACCCTGGAAAGGAGGAGTTAGGTTAGAGTATGACCATCAAACCTGAAGGTGAGAGTTTGAATGTGACAGAAACTTTCAATATCATACAACAGAAACCTGTGATTTGTAGCTTAATGATATACCTGAAGGTGAGAAAATGAGGAAATTACACTTAGGTGCATAGGTAACTGCCAAAAGAGAGAATGTTATTGACCTTGGCCTAAGGGTTTGCATTAGTGGCAGCACCCGCAGCAATCTGACTGTAGGTCAAGTTCCCTTTTAATAATGCTTTCCGTAGCCAGAGCTATCTGCAATGATCAAAATGTTTCCTAAGAAGCGCTTAGCAGTAAAGTGTTCCAGTTCGAATTCATCCCCTGGCGCATACCTAAGGGGCCCCTCTTCAGTTATCCTCAGATAACTGGATTTGGGAAAGAGAAGAGCCATGGGGCGGGCCAGGAGTTCTCAGTTCCTAAGCACCGTGGGCAAGGCGCGCTTTCAAGCTCAGAACTATTCTGGGAGCTATTAAGTAAAAAACATCACTCTTCGTTTCCCTTCCTAAAATGAAGCTTCCACCGTTAAAAATGTAGCGGAGGTAAGCCACCTTCCTGGACCCAGTGCCCGGATCCCGTTTTCGCCTCGGAGGACCACGCACGGGAACGCCGCCTGACTGGGGTGGGGGGGGGGGGGTGTTCCAGGCCAGGTCAGAGTTTGCAGCAAAAACCCACAAAAACCAACAGTCTGGGCGAGGACGTGTTGGGACACCACTCGGAGGAGAGCTGGCGGTAAGGGAGGAACAAGGATTATAAAGAGCTTTGAAGATGGAAATTCTCTTATCGGGATCCCTTTGGGGAATCAGAAGGGACGCCCGGCAATCCCGGTTCCCTTTCCCACCACGCCGGTGGCACAGCCAAACAAGGCAGGAAGGAGGGCTCAGCACTGCGGCCCACTCCGCGTCCAGCATCCGCCCCCTTGGCTGCCGGTCCCGCCAACCGCAGCCAAGTCGGCCCTGGGCTCCGTGCCTGGAGATCCCCAGACCCGGGCACAGACCTCCCCGCCGCAGGCGGCACCCTTCCCCTCCCGCGGAGCGCCCACGCCCACCCCGGTCGGCGGCCGGCGCCCGGGAGACGCGCACCCCGCCCTCTCGATCCTTCCCAGCCTCTTTCGCGCTTCCTGGCCTCTGGTCACCGCTTCGTAGAGAGGCAGAACCCAACCACCGCAGCGATCGGATAAGAGCCGCGAGGCCAGGAAGACGGCGGTGCATCCCGGCGCCCAGGAACGGCGCCAGGGCGCCACTCCCAGGCCGGAGAGGGCGGGTGGCCGCAGAGGAGGAAACGCGGCGGCACTCGGGTCGTCCTCACGCGCACTGCGCACTTTACCTGGGACCGGGGGCCGGAGAGGCCGCGCGCGGAGGCGCAGAGCCGTGGCCAGGAGCGGAGCTGCCCGAGAGGCGCCATGTTGGGGCCCGGCGGCGGGAGCCCGCGGCGAGAGCGGGCTGGAGGGTGCGGGGCAGCCGCGGCGTCCCAGGGAAGAGAGAAGAGAAGGTGCGTGCGGGGCGGGCTGGAGGCTCCGCCGCGCGAGTGTGACGTCCTCGGGTCCCCGGGGCGCGCTCTCGGGCTGCTTCCCTACGGTGGGGTGGGGCCGGGCTCCGGGTTTTTCCGGGTAGCTTTCTTGGCGTGCGCCTGCCACCCTAGCCCCTTGATCAATAATTTAGCTTGGAGGGGTCACGGAGTCAGCTTTCCCCAAGGTGAGGGTCAAGTCTTGCCCTGGCGCTGGGACGGCGCAAGCCTGCCCCTTGTTGCTTTTCCAAGTCAGTGCCTGGCATGTCTGCGGACCCCCCACTTTCTCTTTGCATACCTGGACTGTGTGTCACCTCTCCCCACAGTTGCCCCTGGTTTGTGTCCTAAGTTTGCTCTGAGAACTGCCAAGAGCCATCTGCCATGAGGTGTGCTCAAGCAAGCCAGTCAAGACTGTCCCTGGTCAAGAAAAACAAGATTAGGACTCAGGACCTGATCTCAGCCCATCTCTTTCCCCATCTTCCCCACCATGCGAGCTTGCAAATTTTCGGATCTTTGATGCAAAGTCCCGGGAAACCCAGAGCTTACTCAGCAGGTGCAAACATAACGGTGTAGGTTCGTTTGACCTTAGTTTCATAACGTTTCTGAGCCAAATTGGCATTGCTATTATACTCAGAACTGTCATTAAGGCACACATAAAGTAACTCATGCAAAGCTTCTGGCCACGTTATGAATACTCAATATATAGATGTTAGACATTGTTCTACGTTTATTCAGGCTGCAGTGGTGGACTGGCATGGCATGCAATCTTTCGAAGCCTTATCTCCACCAGCTCCTTGAGGACCTGAGCCAAGTCTGATTTCTTAAGAATGGAAGGACCAAGGGGAAATTCAAGAAATGTTTTACTGAAAAACTGACCAAGTCCTGGGAATATGGCTGTTATTTTTGAACCAAAGCAAAATAAGAATTAAATGAGACCTTAGCTTCCTTAGCAAGCAAACTAAGACAACTTCAATTTAAAGTGTCCATAAAAGCGTTTTCCCTTTCATGGTATTCTTTTAACTCTGAGCTCTCTTTTTTCCCCCCTAAGAGTGAATATATATGTAGTCCACACCCAAGGGTATGTTTACTGATTTTAGAATAGAGGACGGGAGAGGGAGAAACAGCAATGTGAGAGAAACATCCAGCAGTTGCCTCTTGTACTTGCCCCGACGGGGGATTGAGCCCACAGCCAACTGAGCCAGCCAGCCAGAGCTATACATGTTATATTCAAGGGAGCAGAATACCAAGTTAGACTATCCAGTTACATAAGCAGAAATTAACTTAGCAATGTCCTGTATTTTCAACACATTTTAAGAAGTTGGATACAGGGGAAATTCAGGGGTGAGAACCAAAGGCCTATGGCTAGTCCTAATACAGCATAGAACAGCCACTGCGTGGTTTACAGAACACGAAAAAGCTAACATTCACGGCTGGGTCTGCCCTTCCAGAGAGCACAACAGATGGAAAACAGCATCGGCAACCCCGTCCGGCCGTGGTCCTATGATTCACTCTCTCGGCTGGTCTTACTCTGTTGCTCCAAGCTGTGTGACTAATCATAAAAAAAGAAAATCGGCCTCTTTACTCATGGTCAAAACGTACTGCGATGTTTTTTTTTCCTTTAATCCTCACCAGAGGATATGTTCATTGATTCGAGAGAGAGAGGAAGAAAGAGAAAAACATCCTTGTGAGAGAGAAACATCAGTCAGTTACCTCCCCTATGCGCTTGACCAGGAATCGAACTGGCAAACTGAGTACGTGCTCTGACTGAGAACCAAACGTGCAACCTTTTGGTGTATGGGGCAGTGCTCCTACCACCTGAGCCACCTGGCCAGGGCTATACCGTGCTATTTTTTTATGACTTTATGCCTTTGTTTTGTATTTTTTAAATAAAATATGAGTATATTCAACTTGAACAAGTTATAGAAAAAGCTCTTCTGTATGGATTTCCCTTTCGGTTCCACAAAGCCATTTTAATTTTAACCTATAAAAACCTTTTCAAAAATACATAAAATTTTCTGAACTAGTAAAAATAGTCCATCCTTCCTTTGGAGGGTAATTAGTGGCAAGTATATCATAATCTGGAACCTTTTCTTTATGTCATCATGTAGAGCTTCTACATTCTTAGAAATTAGGAGAACTGAATTGAGTTCAAAGCTTTTAAACAAAAAGGTCTGATTCCAGACCAAAAAAATGAGAAATTTTCATTTTGTATTATTTTACATGTAACATACATTATGTTCCACATGATATGTATTTATAGTGTATGTAAATATATAGTATATAATACATATAAATATGTATACTATATATAAATCCTTTTCTATCAAATGAATCAGACAGTGCATCAGAGTTGGTAAGATTGTATAAGTCACCGTTCTCTACTGGAGGGATTTTTATTGAAATTCTTCCAAAATATGATGCATTAGCATCATCTCTCATTATTGAAAAAATAGAACGTGTGGAAAAAACAAAGAAAAACATCAGACATCCTGCCTCCGCAGTTGGTGGAGTATTCCTCCAGGTTGATGGGGAGGGTGTTTGGAGACTTGTTTTTCAAAAGTTGTTTGACGGGCTTAACTAACAGTAAGAATTTTTAACGAGGTCATTTGTGTCAATGTAAAAAAGTAACAATGCTTCACTTCACACAATGGTCTAACATATGGAAAAGAAATTTTTTCAGACAAATAATTTTTCTCTAGGGGCTTTGAAAGACATAAATTTGAAATTTTACATGTATTTGTATATTTCAATATTTTATAATGTACATCATCCTCTAATTTACCTATTTTTTAAGTTCGTTATTTTCATAGATTATTTGAAGCAGTGCCTTGGCATTCACGACTCTTTTCTTAATATTTGCTCAGTGAATAAAATAGGAATTTCAGTGTCGTTTTCTCACACACAAAAAAGAAATGAAATAAATTCATGAGATAGTTGGAGAAGGCTCAGCTCCTGGAATGAAAACAAAAATTGTGTTGAGGCCGTAAACACAGTGATCTTGCACACATGCCAATCTGATCGTGTTACTTCTGCTTAAACCCTCTCCATCATTCTCCCCGCTGCCTGATCCTGATATCTTCTGTGTGTGTGACAAAAACCATGAAGTCATGTGCGGTAGCAAATGATCCTCCCCTGTGAAAAGATGTCACTTAAGCACTAGGCAATCGCTTGCTAAAGACGTCACTTAAGCACTATCAAATGAATGTCAGTGTTGCAAGTGGCTATTTGCACTGGCCAGAACTGCAAAGGCCAAACTCCTGCACCCAGGCAGGTCCCAGGGATGACCCAGCCCCTTCTGGAGCTCCTGTCTGGAAAAAGGAGAATCAGAGGAATGTACTGTTCGTTCTAGCCGCCACCTGGCCTGAGGCCCCTCCATTTCTTAGAGCTTTCTCTTACAATGATGAATCTCTCCTCCTTCCACTTGAGATGTTTGTGTATCTTCCACTGTTCAGAGGTGTCTTTCCACAAGACTCCAAAGCTATTTCGAGGAAATGTAATTTACCAGAAAGGATGGGGCCACCGTCTCAAAGTTTCAGTGGGAGGGTAAAATCGCAACTTAGTTCTTCACCAGCTAGCAGGCATCTCCACAGGGCCCTGTGTAATGTCCCCGTCCTGACTCAGTGACCCACCCCACTGCCGTCCCACTCACCCCTACTCCGTCCTTCTTCCCCTGCAACACGCAGTCACCTCTGTGCCAGTTGGAATTGGCTCTTTCCCCCACTTCAGCGGCTGCTGAATAAAATCTGTTTTCAACGTTTTAATGTCTGTCTTTGTTTATCTTTCACAATGGCCATAAAGGAACAGGCTTTTCCGTATAATTCCAATGTCATTCCAGGCTTAGCAAACTAAATGTAATTTCTATAAAGATGTGTAAGGCAAGCAGTTTGTATGTAAGAATGTAAAAAAAATATGAAAAGTTAACCCTTCTTAAATAGATAGGAAGAAATAATAGCTCCTAAATAAATAACATGGAATTATTAGCATGGGATTATATACACTAAAGAATTAGAAGAGTTCACATCTGAAATTTATAAGTATACAAATATAACAGTGACAAAGGTGGTCTTATTAAAATTCTTTAAGATTACAGTTTACCTTCAGTATTATTTTGTATTACTTTCAGGTGTACAGCATAGTGGTTAGACAATCACATACTTTATAAAGTGTTCCCCTGAATATTTCTAGTACCCAGTGGGCACCACACATAAGCATTACGATGCTATTGACTATATGTTCTACGCTGCACTTTACGTCCCTGTTAACAGTTTTGTAGATACCAGTCTGTACTTCTCAATCCCTTCACCCTCCTCACTCAGTCCCCCAGCTCCCTCCCCTCCGGCAACCATCAGTCTGTTCTCTGCATTTATGTTTCTGTTTCCATTTTGTTCGTTTGCTTATATTCTTCAGATTTTACGTATAAGTGAAATCATGTTGTATTTATATTTTCTGACTCATTTCACTTAGCATAATTGAACCTCTAGGTCCACGCTATTGCAAATGGTAAGATTTCATTCTTTTTGGTATCCAAGTAAGACTCCATTGTACATATGGACCACAGCTTTTTTATCCACTGCTCTATTGATGGGCACTTGGGTTACTTCCATTGCTTGGCTATTGTAAATAATGCTGCAATCAACGGAGGAGTGCCCATATGCTTTTGAATCAGTGTGTTGAGTTCTTCCAATTATATTCCCAGAAGTAGAATCTCTGGATCATAAGGCCGTTCCATTTTTAATTTTTTCATATATCGCCAAACTGCTGTCCACAGTGGCTGCACACATCTGCATTCCCACCAACAGTGCAGAAGGGCTCCCTTTTCTCCACATCTTCGTCAGCACTTATCGTTTGTTGATTTATTGATGCTAGCCATTCTGACAGGTGTAAAGTGATATTTCAGTGTGGTTTTTATTTGCATTTCTCTGATAATTAGTGGTGCTGAGCATCTTTTCATGTCTATTGGCCATCTGTATGTCCTCTTTGGAGAAGTAAGGTGATCTTTTTAATCAGTAGTCTCTAAATTTGTGTTACAACAATGTGTTGTAAATTCAGGAAAAAAGATCATAGATCTCTGTGTCTCG